GGGGGGGGGGGAGGACTCCTTTAAGCCTAGCCTGAGCTATCACTTTGACTACTAATGGATATCATATGGTTAAAAAAATTTCCTAAAATTAAAAAAACCAAAATGATCGCTTTATCTTCTTTAACCACAAACCTCAGGAAGCCATGGGTATTGGGAGGGTTAGGGAAATCCTTTCCACCTAGAGCTAACACAGACACATTTTAAATTAGGACAGCAGCTTCAAAATGTGGATGAAAGGGGGCACTACAATAAATCTAACAGAAAGTAACCTCACAGGGTGACCTGACCATAAATTCCTACCTGGGCAGGTCATGAAGTGCCAGAAGTAATCCTCTTTTCCAGACCACTCGAAGGCTAGCCACCTCGAGGGAGCACATGCTCTTAACTACCCTGTACCTTGCTTTCTCCCACCTTCATGTAATCTTCCTTACATTCCCTCCTTAATTCTAAATGTTTAACAGGAACTGCAAAACTGTTATTCTATGGAATAGTTCAGATCTTGCTTCCTGGCAACTGTCATCAATTTGGCTCAAATAAATTCTTATAAAAATTCTCTACCGGTTTGGACATTCTTACACTGACAAAGACAAAAAGATTACCACATAACAGTCACTCCTCCACATCCAATAGAATTTGACAAGTTCCAAAATCAAAGGTTGTTTTTCCCCACACTAACAACCAGACTTCATGATTTGGAATATGCTGTAAAACTGTAAGCTACTTTTCATTGAGGTCGCCTGAGAGAGGAAGAGTTACAAAGAAATTCTCTGCACAACATGGGGCAGGATTATAGCTGTCCTCCTTGCTCCCCAAGATCGTGGGAGTCTTGACCATGCTCAGGAGAGAGTGCCGAGGCAGATGGGAGACGGGAGGGCAAGCAGAACTTAATGTCTTCAAGTTAGGCCTTGGGCATTTAGTAGATGTTCATGACTGAGTACTCTGAATCTAAGGATAAAAATGTCTTTCGTAAATACTTTCTACCATGAGTCTTGTTATGGCCACATACAGATACCCTGTTTGGATGAGACAGACTGAACTAACCACTATTACCAAGTTATAAAGGCTCTCCCCCAGAGTTCAACTGTGTTCCCTTCATGGGGAGCTGGGCCTGTCCTATGTGCACCAGGTGAGTTAGAAAAAGCAGGACTTTATTCCTGGCCTCAAATGTTGCCCCAGCTCAACGAGGCTTAGGCGAGGCAGAATTCAGGGTGCATCAGGGCTATCTGAAATATATACGATTGGAGATGAGGCTTAATCTTAAACTTAAAGAGGCCACAGTGGAGGCAAGAGGTAGATGTTAGGAACAGAGGTACTGAGAGTCCTTCCATGGAGAGGGCGCATTCAGGGTCCAAAGGTGAAACTGTGGAGGACTCCTTAGCCATGGGGTAGTCCCACTGAATTCTGCAGTCTTCTTGTCACTTTGGGGATTTCTATTGGGCAACTTTCTCCTGGGGCATCACTAAGACAGTGTGCTTTGACAACATGAATAAACCTGTAATACACTGCTAAAGGCTAAACAGACTTGTACCAGCTTGAGAAGTGCTGAGGATAAAGAAAGGTCAAATAAGCTTTATGGGAAAAGTGGGGCTCACCCTGGATTGGAGAGATAAACAGAGATGATAGGGAAGCATTCCAGAAGCAACCAGATACAAGGTGCAAGATAGCATATAACATTCAGGCTGTAGCAAATGTTCACTGATCATATTGGAGGGGTCCCTGGGAAAACTCTTTGGGGGTACAATGAGCTCCTCAGCATCTACTACTTTATAATGCAGTGGAAGGTGATGTAACTTGATCATAATGCAGTAGTTTGAAATTAGGTGCAAATGATCTGTTTGAAATTAAGTGGATGACTGGCTTTAGCAATACAATTTAAAGGGCCTGGTGAGTTCCTGTCTGTGGACAGTTCAGCCCCTGAATGCCTGGCTGCTTTCCCTCAAAGATATGATGACACCTAAATACCTAGTTAGCCCTGTTTCAGCAAGAGCCCCGTGGCTCTCTCCCAAGGGTGATCTGAAACACAGGACACACGCCTAGGCTAAGACACTACTCCTAGGCCAAGCTGCTCCTTTTAGAGCCAGCTGCCAGAATTGCTGTGCTTCCCCCCACCCAAGCGGTAATAGATCAGATGCTGGGGCACTTTGGGGGGCCTGGATGCCCTCCCCAGAGCAAACATCAGAGCCCCAGCCCCA